CACATCAATCGCAATTATAATACACACATATATATATATATATATATATATATATATATAGAAAAGTTTGGGATTTGCATGACGATAGCACACGTGATGCTAATGGTACGTATTTTTAGTCTTACGATTTGGTTCACCGGCCAACTTTCCGAAGAAAAAAAAATATCTTAACGTTAATGCTTTGGAAAAAAAAAAGTATATTTTATTTATGATACGTAAATCCAAATAGGATTTGATTTGATTTAGAGAAACAAAATGATATAAATAAATTGATTTTTTTTTGTTGGTTGAATATTGATCTCAAAGGCATTACCAAATGAGAACTACTTGTCATTTTATTCTGTCAAAATTTACCGAATAAAATACAAAAAGTCACACCCTTCAGCATTGGAAATCAAATAATCCATTGTTCTCGTGAATCTTGAATATATATATGTGATTCGGGCATAAGCTTTACCATTACGGGTTAAATACTCGTAACCCTTCGTGGGACGGTGTCAACCTCGGAGGTATAGAGAGAGATAAAACTTGTAAAACCATATCTTAAATTTTTTTATAAATCGAAGTATTAGAGATACAAATATATTCATATCATATTTCACTATTTTAGATAAAACGTCGAATTTTTCAATTCTTCTTACAAGTTTAGATTTCCGTTTTGATTATATATATATATATATTATATATTGTTTCATTCAATAGAATCAACATAAGATAAGACAATATATATATATATATATGTGTGTGTGTGTGTATGTGTGTGTTCGTGCCTCTCAGCATCAAAATAATACACTATAGTAAACTAATATATTTCCTATTTTATTTTTGTGGTTGGAACATTTGAAAAACAAAAAGTTTCGGTGGTTGTTCATATTTGTAGAGTCCACACGGTGACTCAATAGACATTTCTTTGTTTGGTTGACGATGACGCTCACAATTATATCTCTTTATTATATTCATTATATATATTTTTTGTTAATTTAAAAATTCGCTAGATTTTCGATCCAATTATATCTCTCAACAAAAATTTAAAAACAACTTATATATCACAATTGAGTTGTGCATCCCTTCTCCAACCGAAGCTCAATATAGGATTTGAGACAAAAACATCCATCCCTCCTACCCTTCTCGATCAATTATATTACCCCGATCATCATAAATTGGATCATTATAATAATTTAATTTTAGGTAACAAGTGGATAAGAAAAAAAAAAGATAAAATCTAACGAAGAGAAAAGCTTACACTCATCAAAAACTAAAACGAGAGAATATATTTTGAAAATATAAATATATTTGATATATCAACAATATATTCAAGTCAAACTGGTTGGTGAAATATCAATCGTAACTATTTTTGAGAATTTTGTGGTAAGTGTAGACTCACAATATATTATATATATATATATATATATATAAGTGGATCAATCTTCCAAGGCACTACTAATTACTAAACATCGCTAAAATATATTATAAGCGTATCTTCACATTGAAATTACACATTAATTTGTCAAAATTATGACTCAATCATATGTTTTTTTTATAAAACTCAATCATATGTTAGAATTGACAAATCACAATTTGTAGTATTTTCAAAATAAAAATTTTAGGGAATAAAATGGTCATCTATATGATTAATTTCTTAAATTGTACAGTGAAATAAATTAAATGTTTTAATAAGATATTAAGATACGTAAGAGGGAAAAAAACAAATCACCTAATCATCACATCACAAAGTCTTTGAAATGGAAACTAATGTTAGAATAAAGCTTTACCAAATAGGGCACCACTTTATATTTGGAAAATAAAAATATTATAAAGTTAAATAATTATATACCCCTAATCCGTGGCCGTGGGTTGGTAGAAAACTTGCTTAATGATTGTGACTTTTTTCATGACTACCTAACTAAATTTCTCATATGGTCCAAGCGAAGAGCAATCAAATACTTTAAATTTAAAAACACAAATTATAACAAATAAAATCGACATAATAAAAAAATAAATAAAAAAGAGTTAAACAAAAAACTAGTTGCTTACATGGGCATGACGCATGGCTCATGCACGACGGATATGTAATGTAATGGGGAGGAAAATATATAGTTAATAATATTAATTTGAATTTATTTCATGTACGTGGATAGTATTTTACTATTTGAAAAAAAAATATTAAATTTATTTTCCTAGTTTTGTGAGATCCAAAATGATAAAATTGGAATTTCTAATATTGATTCGAGTGAAGTTTTTTCAAAAACTAAATATGGATAAGGCGAATTTAACTGTGAAGGGCTAAGTGTATTAATATATGGGCTTAAATAGTATGGGCCTGAAGTCCATTCTAAATATTTATATGATAATATTACTATTGATGGGCTGATGCTAATATTATAAGAATGTTCCTGAAACAGGCAGAGCATTGGGATAAAAAATACAATTACTTTTTTAATATATATATAAAAATTATTTCATTTTATAAATGCTCAATTATTATTATTATTTTTTGTTTAACAAATGCTCAATTATTTCTTATAGGTATAGTCCAGTATTGGATATAGCTTACATATATATGTAGGCATATATATGTGAGCTGTACGGAATCTTAGTAGATCTACGATGCCAACTAGTTTCGAGGGTTTCGAAGGTTGTCGCCCACGTTTCCAAGATCTCCTCAGATTTTTCAACAAATTTATCGAGTTAGACTAAATTAATTAAAATTTAAAATTGTATTGTAAGATATTGAATAATATATATATATCTTAGAAATACCCAACAGTTATATTTGTTCATTCCGTTGCTGGTTTATTTTAAATAAAAATCTTTTTGTGTTTCAACCAACATCGAAACATTTTGAATTGGAAAACATGTGCAGAGATCCGTACAATCATCTCTAGCCAATCGCAAACCGCCACGTATCCAACCACGACGTTTGAACTAGATGTATAGCATTTATATTATTTATTAACGTTTAAATATGCTAATTTGCTTTTATAAGACCAAAAAAAATGCGATTAAACTCGCATATATTTGATTTTTAATAAATTAATGTAAGCTGTTGGACAGCAAAAGAGTCCAACCGTACTGTGAAGATACGGTCCATGTGACACATATTATATATGCTGTATATCGTCTATTTCTTCCAAGTATTTAATTAATTAGCATATTAATTATAATAATTAAAAATACATTAATATAAGCTATATCTACCGACTGACTCGTTCGTCTTATTAGCTGGGTATATTTGAATAACAATATTAGATTTGTAGTGTTGTGATTGAATTGTGTATACATAATGATTTTTATTATATTTTAACATGCATGCATCATGTAAATTGTGTATATTTGTTAAAGTTTATCATAAAGTACGGTCCAAACGATTATTTGCAACCCACTAATGTTTGTTTTTAAATTTTAAATTAAAGTGTTTTTTATTATTTTTAAAAAAACACCAAAAATATATCCAAGGAAGGAAACTATTGTAGCTTGAGAGTGGGGAGCGGATAAAATCACGCCATAATTCATAAATAAAGAAACATCGGTTTCAATTATTCAATAAAATCACAACATGCAAAGATAACCCTCTAGACTATTTTGGTTTTCCAAATGTATTATGATGCTAATAATAATAATAATAATAATAATAATAATAATAATAATAATAAACTGCCTTATAATTGATATCCTATGACAATTAGTTTTGAAACACTTGATATATACATATATATATATATATAAAGATACGTACTAGGATTGGACAAAATACCTTTGGATAAACGAGTGATTTATAATCCAAAACCTAGATTTGGCGTACGGAATTTTAATTCCATATACTTTAAAATCTTAGCTTATTATTGTTTTGGTTAAACCCTAAACCCAAATTTTAAAAACTTAATTATATCATAACCATTCTCTATTATAATATTTGTCTGCATCAAATTAATCCAATCACATTCAAATATAAAAAAGATCAACAAATTTAAACTACTACTTTTAATAATAATAAAAAATACGAATAAAAAGCTACATAAAAACAGTTATATATGATATATGTAAACGTAAAAATAATCGAATTGAGAATCTAACATTAGAAATATTCATCTCCTGTAATCCCTAATGTGTACACAATGGATTGTATATTACATGGGATAAGTATTATAGTCTCTGTCAAAGAAAATTGGACAAAAATTAGGTGAGAAGGTGATACCAGGAAATAAAAATCAACATCGAGATGAGTTCCGAGTTTGACTTAAAAGCAAAAATAAAAATTGCAACAAAATCCTCAATAATAATAATAATAATAATAATAATAATAATAATAATAATAATAATAATAATAATAAAGATGATGATGATGATGATGATAATCATGACATCACTTATCATTTCTTGTCTGCTCAATTACAGCCATTTTTTCCGGCACGTTTCCTCCTCTCTTTTTCTTTTACGAAATTATCTAAAACATATTCTATCAAAAATTAATTAACTGATCCCCCTCTCTCTTTTTTATTATATTTAATTTTTTTATCTTTTTTTTCCCTTTTTTGTAGATAATTACAGGGATTTGTATGAACCGATACAAATATGAGAATCGATACAAATATAATAATAAAAGCACTATATCGGATCTTTGGATGCTTCTGTTTGCCACCCATCATCAGGAAAAGAGTACTTTGTGTATCGGATATTCCGTACAGGACACAAAAACTATAATTCCACGTTAAATGCCGAAAGTGACCCTGACTTTGTCCCTAAATCACGGTTTTGTCACCGTCTCGGCGTGTCGAGGGTTTGGATTCTCCATCCCTCCCCTCGCCTCCGGCGACCAAGAAACAAGCAAACACAAAAAGAGACACATAAAAATAGATAAATAAATAAATATATATATATATATATATCAACTTGTGTATTGTATCATAGTTATTAAATTTCATATATATATATATATAATATAGTTTTTGTCCTGTACGGAATATCAATTAAATCCAAAATTCCTTTTGTATTTAGATTTTTTTTATAAAAAAAAAATTTGCGGTTGAATAAATTGTATGCACGTTGGATGTTCATACATAAAAAGAAATATAAGCGATATGTCATAGAAAGAGGAAGATGGCATCATATTGTTTGGTAATGCATCAAGGGTCATCATGCTTGCGATCATTATTCTTTATAAGCTTTGAGCTTTTATTTACATGACTGTTAATTAATATCAGTAATCACACTTTGTTCTTTGCCATTATATCTATCGTATTTTGACGACCCAACATCACTACCATTCAAACAAAGCGAAAGGGATGAGCTTTAGATAATGTTTACTGCTTTCGGACTTGTGATTTTTTGTCTGATTTATAATAAAAACACAAAAAATATCAAAATTTAGAAAATATCTCAATTTCTAAACCAAATTATCAGATAAATTTAAGAACTAAAATGTTAAAATTACAAGGCAAATTTTCTCTGGTTTTCCCTCTGTTTCTCGGCAACCAAACAAGAGGGTTTAGATTCTTGAGCCGGAGAGAAAATCTATCATATGAATTTCCTCGATTTTCCCGGTAACAAAACATAGGGTTTTCGAAGAAAAACGAAACCAGAACAATTGGATCTTTGTTTGAAGATCAACAACATTACAGAAGGCAAGACATTCCGATCAGACCGAAAAAAAGGGGAAAAAAAATCCAAGAACGAAAATTGTATAATATTTACAAAATTAGAAAATTTAAAAAAAAAAAATAGAAAACGACGCCGTTTGCGTTGCTTCTTCTTCTTCTCCTCCTCCATCTTCTTCGGCATCACCTACTCTGTAGCTCCGGGTACAAAAAAAGACAGATCTTCGCCGGAGAATGACGCGGCGAGCTCCTGGAGGTCGCGCGTCGACTCACCTGTGAGGCCGAGTCGGAGCGAGTCGACGACGCGCTCGAAGACGATGACGTGGCATGGAATGTGGAGGACGCCTTTCTGGGCGTAACCGTACTCCTGAGCCGATCGGTTCAG